TCAGTAAATTTCATAGTTCAGTCTTACAAAATCATAAGGTGGTCTGTGTGGGTACTCTTAATGGCTTTCTGCTATCTGGAAAGTAGCATTATATTCCAGCTGTGCAGGCACTGAAATTTGTATTCCAAAATGGTTGATGCTTGGAAAGAAAGTCGTGATTGAAACCAGGTGCAGATCATTATGCTTAATACGCAGGGCTTTTCTTTCTCTCTGACATCTTAGCGTCCAAATGATTCTACAAGTTACTTTTCCCAACTCACAAGTTTGCAATGATCAAAATGACTGAAAGAAGGTGTATTTGCTTTTTCTCCCCCTAGATTAAATAAGAGTTAAGTCTCAGATATTCTTCATAAAAGAACATTTTCTCGTTAACACATATTTTTTAAGTAATGGCAATGAGTCATTTAAAGAGTGTAGAGCAATGAATACTAAGTGAGTTTTGTGCATCAGCAAGGAGCAGACTACAATAAAGAAAAAAAAAGTATTTTGCTTTAGCAAAGATCAAGAACTATGTGAGAGTTCCATGTACTTAGGAGATTAAGGATTTCTAAAGCTATTTGCCACACACTTGCTGTCAATAAAGTAAAACAATGCAGTTATATTTTCATGATTTTTGTTCATGGATAATGAGTGAATTGTTCCTCTAAAGCAGGGAAATGTCAAGCTTTTTTAAAATAGACTCCAATTACCTCAAAGTTTAAAATATACAAGAATAAAATAAATCTTAATTTTTATGTTATTTTAATGTATGCAATTTAATACTCAGCCTACATGGCTCTATAAGATGCAAATCATGCTGGTAACATAGATCAGAAATCAGATGGGTAAGTACTGTGTACAGTGTGGGGGCAGATGTAGACAGTACTTTCCATTTTAGGCAGGAGAATAAAGTTTAAAGGAATTACTTTGTTAGCATAAGAATGGAATTTTTATTCTCTGAGCCATTACACCCTGCCTTTTCAGATGTTACAAATGAGAAAGTTTAAGTCAAAACCTGCTTAAATTTCAGTGGTTTCAGTTTTGCAGAATAACAGGTGTGAAATCCTAGGCGATTATCAATACAGTGAAATCGCTGCAGCGCGAATCCGAAGTTCAAATTAACGTTTCAGTGGCTTCAGTATTTATGTCACCGAAGGCTGCCTGAGGCAGATCTGCATTGTGCTGTTTCCTATAGGGCTGACGCTGGTAGACATTTTTTTTCCTTACTGGGACATTGTGTCTGGGTAAAAAATTGTGATAGATACAACATCTTATTTCAATTTTCCTTTTCTTTTTATGATATGAATTGAAAGTATTGATATGGTTGTGACTCATTTGGTTGCTACTAATGATCCCCATAGCTAAAAATCTACAGACAGTGTTCAAATAGAATTGTTCATGTAGTTAGGGATGGAGTTAGACGGGTTGTCCAATGTCACACTTAGCGGCAGGCTTAGGACAGAAAGCCAGGCAGTCTAGATATAGAATCTAGAGTAGATGTAGACTCTACTCTTTAAAGCACAATATCATAACGTCTTCATAAAAGTAACTGTCTCTTACCTGGCTATATCAGTTAGCTTCTCCTGTGTAACAAATGTCCTGGTGGTGGAGAGACTCCAGGCTGTTCATGACCTTATATAATCTCCCCTGAGTGTGGGTGTTGTCGAAACTTGGCCTCCGTACCCCACTTACTGAAGTGAGACTTGAGGACAGGGTTTTGGATGAAGTAGAAAAGGCAGATTTATTTCCTTGCCAGGCAAAGGAGGTCCCAGTGGCTAATGCCTCTGAGACTGTGAGCCTGCTGGGAAGAGAAGGCAGGGGGTTGGTAGTAAAAGTTCAAGAGTTAAAGGGGCGGGGCTAGTTTCCATAGAGATCACATTCAGGGTAACACATTGTTGCAAAGTTGTTCTTGTTTTTGCACATGCAGGGGGCCCCTTCCCTCTGCTGGGTATGAAGTTCATCTCTGGCTTTGGGACTCTCTTAATATTCTTGTACCTAGAACAAAGGATGCATAGGAAGAGGCTTCCTGGAAAAGAGCTCTAGAGAAAAACATGTGCAGCTTTAAGTCAGGGATGATAAATGCTTTTAGCCTTTTAAGCAGGTGGAGGCCTGGGACCTCCTGCTGTAGGCTGAGGCTTGAACAACAGGACATAAGGGAACCACCAGGGGTTCAGAGGAAGGCACTAGGGTCACGAGGAGGGCACTGAGCATGACCCCCCCACCACACACACAGAGAACCATGAGGGGGTTGGATGGACCACTGAAGCCTCCCTCCTATCCAGTCTAACCCTGGGCAGCAAGAGTGCATGAAAGCCCCTTTAAACCATTAGACAGTGAAGTGGTTACAGACACCACCGCAGATATCAGATGGTCACTGATGGTGACCGTAGGGTCCTGCTCGGTTACATAAGTAGGAGGTAGCAAGGGTGATGTGATGTCACTTCCTTGATTATGTTCTTTAGGGAAGACGGGTCTTGTTGGCAGATTCACCCTAGAGACGTTCCTTGCTGACTGAGTGAAGAACACAGCCAGGCTGGGAAATGCCATACAGCAAGGAACGGAGGGCCACCTCTGGTAGTGGAGGGCAGCTTCCAGCCAAAAGCTGGCAAGAAGCTGAGCCTTCTGCCCTCCCACTATGAGGAAACAAATTCTGCCAACAACCAACAACTGTATTTGAAAGTACGATCTTCTTTGGTCAAGCTTCTAGATACAAACATAGCCTTCTTGACACAATTTCTACCTTGAGGGACCCCGAGCAGAGGATTCAGTTGAGCCACATCCTGATTGCTGACTGGTGAAAACTGAAATAAGAAATGTTTGTTGCTTTAAGCTACTAAGTTTGTTGCATTTTGTTACACAAGAAGTGACTGGTACAAACCCCACATGATTGGGGTACAAAATAACTATTCATGTAGCTCAGAATTCTGCAAGTTGGCAGTTGGTTTCTGCCCTACCAGGTGGTTCTGGTCTGTGCTGAGCTGCTCACGTGTCTGTCAGCGGGTAGGTCAGCCCCTGTGAATGTTTCAGAAAGGCTTTGGCTGGAATGCCTATCAGCGTGGTCCTCTCTCCATGAGCACAGGGTGTTCTGGAGTTGTTCCCAAGACGGCAGGAAATTTCTAAGCTCTTAAGAGAGCAAACTCAAATGTGCAAACACTTTTGAAGTCTCTGTGCTGCGACTTTTGCTAAGGTTCCATTGGATACGAGTCACATGGTCAACCCCGACTTAAGGACTGGGTGGTAGATTCCACCTCTTGAGGGAAGAAACTGAAAAGGGTGGCTATGTTTACAATCTGTCACTCTGGTCTCCTCCATCTCTAAGTCATACCGCAAGTCACCCTGTTGATGAATTCTGAAATTTAGGAGACAGCCTTCATTCATTCTCTCACTCCCCACTCACCTGTCTATCCTTGTAACCTAAGCATGATTGGTTCATTACTTTCCAATGGGATGCATCTAGTACAAGGTACTGACATTCCTCACTTGGAATCCTTCAATAGCCCCATAATTGTTCCTCACACTTTCATTTCATTTTTTATTCCACTATTCACTAGAAGCAGATGATCTTTTAGTGCTATAAATAATATTACATAACGGAATACACTTTGGAAACCTGTATGCCAGATCACATGGGAAAAATTGTATTAATGGGAAGAAGGAGGGTGGCAAACACTGGTGCTGAAATTCAAATGGATAATAGTCAGGTGGCTCTATAGGTCTTCAGGTGCCTAACATCCTTACTGTTGTGAAGCATCTCCACTGACTGGTACCTTCTGAAGATAGCAAAGGAAGCTCTACAGTGTCAGCTGTTGGGCTATTGGACCTTATACTTACATACATGTTTAAAGTGTCTTGGGAATAGATGAAGGGGAGATTTTCCGTGCATATTTGCCATCTTCCATTTAAAGTGGGGAGGGAGAAGTCATGTCACAGAAGAGTTTTTTTAAAATTAGGTTGTTTGCATGTCACTATTATATCTGGTATAAAAGGTGTATTAAAATTAATCTGATGAACATTAGCCATAAGCACAAAAATGAATATGTTGCCATAAAAGAAAAACAATACATCTGGACTTCAACAAAATTAAAAATTTTTGTGCATCAAAGGACTCTATCAACAGAACGAAAAAGAAACTCATGGAATGGAAGAAAATATTTGCTACTCAGATATCTGATAAAGCATTGATATCCAGAATAAACAAAGAACAATTACAACTCAGTAACAAAAGCAAGCAATCTGATTAGAAAAATGGGTACAGCACTTGGATAGATGTTTGTCTAATGAAGGTCTATAAATGGCCAAGAAACACACCAATCGCAGAGAAATGCAAATCAAACCACAATATGACCTTATACCACCAGCATGACTACTAGAAAAAGCACAGAAAATAACAAGTGTCGGTGAGGATGCTGAGAAGTTAAAACGTTGGGCCTATCAGCGAAATGGCGCAGCTGCTGTGAAAAGGATGTGCAGATGCCTCAAAAAATTAAACACAGAATTCCATAGAACGAAGTGTAACTTCTGGGTATTTTCCTGAAAGAAATGAAAGCAAAGATTCAGATATTTCTAGACCAGTGTTCACAGAAGCATTATTTATAGTGGACAAAAAGTGGAAACAACTTAAGGGTCCACTGATGAACGGATTAAAAAAAACATGGCAGACACATACAACGGAATAATTCAGCTGTAAAAAGGAAGGCATGCTCACATGCGCTAAAACATGAGTGAATCTTGAAGACATTATGCAAAGTGGGATAAGCCAGCCACAAATGAACAAACATTGCATGATTCCGCTTATATGAGGTGCCTAGAATAGGCAAATCGCAGACAGGAAGCAGAATGGGGTCCAGGGGTCGCGGGGAGTGAGTGCTTAATGCATACAGACTTCCAATTGGGGAAGATAAAAAGTTCTGGAGATGAATGGTGACAATGGTTGCCTAACAATCTGAATGTACTTAATGCCACAAGACTGTACACTTAAAATGGTTAAAATGGCAAATGGTGTATGATGTCTATTTACCACAATCAAAAAAATGTGAATTGCGGTTTCTCCCTGAATGCAATCCATTCTATGCTTTTCCCAGAGAGCAGTTGTCAGTTACTGTTATACCTTCAGCTCCAGCGTTGAAAGAAATTTTTAAAAATGGTGAGTACAATCAAATTGCCGTCACTGAGTATTTTTTTGGTTTGTTTGTTGTGGACAAAATAAAATCTGGCAAAGATAAACATTTTTCATGATATACTCAGTAGTATGTTTATTATGGAAGGAGATGTTATATCTCAAAGTTTTGAATGATAAATAGGGAAAATGTTTTAACAGTATGCTTACTACTGAAGGGTGAGTTATAAATCAAGATTCGAATGATACATTTTTCATGTATCATTACCTAAATTGGTAAAGACAATCACTATGATTTATAGAAGTTTGCAAATCTGAGCCAACTAATTTATAAACATAAAATTCACTTTCCCTAATATAAATGTTAACTGTATGTGATTATGATACTAGTTGAAATTATACTGGTGGTGGTGGAGATGGCTAGTTTCTTACCAAATATCCAGTCTCTCCTTCTTTCTCAAATTTATGGTACACCAGGTTTTGGCTGTATACTTTAACCTAGCTAAATATTAAAGTTCCAAGATTTCTTTGCAGCTACTCATGGTCGTGTGACTGAGCACTGACTGGCTGGTGAGGTGTAAATGGAAGAGTCATTGTGACTCCTGGTAATTCTCTTTCTCAGGGAGAAGACAAATACTTCTTCCTCTCTGCTTGGCTGGGAGAGCAGACATAATGGCTGGAGCTCTGGCAGCTGTGGTGCAGTTGAGGATGACAGCTGCACATAAAGATTGCTGGAGGAGAAAACTGGAAGAAGCCCAGATGCCCTATGTCAACATTTTGACTACTTGTTGTCAGGCTTCTCTCACGTGGGAGAGAAGTAAGATTCTCTCTTTTAAAAAAATCATTATTATTTTGTTTCTATTATTCTCTGCTAAGTCAAATCCTAACTAAAACAGTTGAAGATTACCTGCAGAAGCATCACCTCCAAAAAGATTTCATTTCTTTTGAAGTTCCTCCTGAAAAAGGCCATAAAGCCACACTACTGGAATTTTCTAGCTCACCTTCAATTTCTGTTAAAAAGAAATGAAATTTCTTTTGACACCACTTAGGTTAACAGGGACGCAACTTAGACATGTTTTAAACCATATCCCTCTCTGGTACTGATTGCTGACAAATTCAGATCTCTTGTGCTAATATCTGCTTCCACACCACAGTGTAAATCATCTCAGTCGTAACATTTACAATAATCTATTTTCATAATTTTGATGGGAAGTGAAACACATATTCATACATTACAGTCAGGTAGCCCAGAGGCCTAATCCTTGTTTAGAGATACAGTATTCTCCAGCTCAGAGAAATGAATTCCTCACAGACATCACTGGGTAAAAACTAAAACAAACAAAAATAAATCCTCCTTTTATGCATTTCTGCTTTTCCAAAATTTTCTGAACACTTAAGAATGCCGTCAACAGTAC